CCCCAAAACCCCAAAACCCCAAAACCCCGCAAGACTTCGAAGAGAAATGAGCATCGTGATTGTATAATGATAATTAAAAGCAAGTATGTGCTTGATTTTGTTCAATCAAATGATATATGATATTGATTAATGATATTCATATTTCATTATTTTTTAGGGGTTATGGAGATGCCAGTACCAAATCCATGGTCTTGGTAATCAAAGTGAATCTTGTAGTCGAATGTCTAGAACTCGGGCAACTTTGGAGAAAGAACCTTCACGAATTGATTTACTGAAAGCTCAATGGCTCCCATTATAGCATTTAGTCTGGTCTTAATATTATCCTAGTCAGACTTTACGTTGCAATTGTCTACAACTACATTGAAACCTTGAATTTCAAGGTCTGAGAATTGGAGGTTGACGGTCTTGTTGGTCTCTTCAATGTTAAGAGCGATGTCTGCTTCGATATCCAATACAGCCTAGAAGGCAAGCTTGGTGGAGTTATCTGATTCCACAATGATAAAGTCAGCAAGCATCTTGATGTGAGCATCAGTGGTCTTGTTGTCTTGAGACCAATCGATGTCAGTGCCTGAGATTGGAGTGAATTAGAGGTTCAAACTCCTTGAACCGTAGTTGTAGAAGAGCTCTGGAATGATTACTAGCATGAGAGTGGTTGTCAAGTCAATGCCAACGAACTCCTTAATTATTCTGTGGTCGATAGGTAGCACAATTAGGCCAGTCTCAAGTACTGTCTCAACCACTTGGTTAACAGTGAAACTTGATGCGACCATCTGCAATGAGTAATCTTCAAATTGATACCTCATAGGTGAGGTTGGTGGCTTAAATGTCTCTCCGTGATTCTTGAAGTAGATAGCTCCATCGTTGAAGGTGTCAATTGAGTTGTCATGGATCTATGGGTTCTCTGGTAGAGTGAAGTCGAGCATCAAACTGGTAGTTTCATTGCCTTAGTGGAAATTCTTGATCTCAATCATTCCGTCCTAGAAGAAGAATGGAATAATAACGTCATTGATAACGAAGTTGATGCCTGGTTGAATGAACAAGTTCACGAGGACCTCTAATGGGTACTTGAGGAGTAAGTCTGTGAAGAAGCTGATAAGATACATAATGAAGTTGCCGCTCATTCTGTAGTAGGATTAACCAATATCGATCTTAGTGCCGAAGAAATCAACTGATGGAGCGCCAGAGTGATCATTTCCTAAAATAGAGAGTCCATTATCAAGAGTAGCATTTTTCGCGAAGACATCAATATCCCAGTTAACAGCGATGAAGAAGAAAATGCCAAATCTGACATGGCAGTGGAACTGGTAGTTGACGAGCTTGGCCCAGTTCATTCTGATGCCTCTGTTAGCCTTGTCAATGGTGAACTTAGCTCTTTCCGTATCTATTTGGAAGTCCTTAAGGGTAATATCTGAGACCTTCACGTTCAAAACTGTGATCTCCTTGGGGATTAAAGCTTCTATCTTTTCCATGACAACTGGAAGTACTTCGAAGAATTCCTTGGTTAAGACGTCGAGGAAGTCTTGTTCGAGTCTAAACTAGATTCCTGGGTAAGCCTACACATCTGATGCGTTGGCCACTGTCGATGTAAGAGCAACTAAAGCTAGAACTAAGGTTTTATAATTCATTTATATATTATAATTACCTAATATCCATAATCCTTGAGTATTATAAACAGCATCATATAATATTATCAAATCTGAACTGCATTTAACACTATGGGGTTTTGGGGTTTTGGGGTTTTGGGGTTTTGGGG